ATGCTTTTCGAAGAGTATCAAAGTTCTCCAAAACAGAGTTGATAGATCCCGTTCTAACTGTCCAACGTGTTGGACACAGATGTCGTAAGCCACGAGTTCTTTCAGTTTGAGGCACATCCATGTCAAGACTCTTCTCAATGGATGGAGCTTTTTGAAGATTCTTGAATAGGTGTTCTCGTTTTGGAGAATATTTAATGAGCTTGTTCACTTCAATTGTGATGTCAAGAGCATCCCTGAGAGGTTTGCATGCTCTAGTGGCTTCCTGCAAAGCCAAGTTGATACAGTGGGCGAGGCAATGGACATGAACTGCCCGTGGTTCATCTCTTTGCAGTTGGACAGCAACTCTATTGACATGGCTTTGAAAATTACTTGTACCATCATAGCCTTGACCTCGGCAATTCGATAGTGGTAAATCACAACGGATGAGTGTGTCTTTTAGTACTTCTGTTAGTGTTGCTGATGTTGTGGAAGGAACCTCATATAGGCCAATAGCATCCTCATGGAAATCATTATCCACCCAACGGATACATATGAGACATTGTTCTTTGTTTGATATGTCTCTTGTTTCATCCGCCATAACGGCAAAGAACCTGACAGCTTTGATTCTCTCAAGAATCTTCAGTCGCACAGCTTGGCCCAGGAGCATCAATTGCTCATTCACAATTGCAAGTGACATACGTGTATATGTTTTCTCAGATAACCATGTTGGCAACCCCTCTATAGCAGAACCTCTCAGTTTCAGAAGCTGAAACAAGTTCGATTCCTCTTCAATATGCCCTCGAAGCGCTAATCCTTGCCTTGATAAGAATAAGAGACATGACAGCTGCACAAGCAGAAGCTTTCGTCTGCACTGCTGTTCCTTGGTAACTTTTGCCAGAAGTAAACTTGTGACTTTGTCATTACCATGTTTCTTGTGTTTTGCAAGGGTATCTCTGTGATATGAATTCTTATCATGCTTTTTGAACTTATCTCCAGACCTTTTCCAATTGTTGAAACCTTCTGATATGAATGTTGCTTCAGGTTGTCTAGAGGTAGGATGCTTCTGCAGATCACTGTCCTTACCGTAAGCCAGTCTGCAATAAAAGCAGAAAACTTTGTTTCTTGTTGTACACAGAGTAAGCCAAGGATATTCATGAAACCATGAGAACGAGAAAGATCTCCCAGTTTTCTTAGTTGTCTTTTTCAAGGTTGATGCAGCATTTGGCTGATAAGGTTCACTAATATCATAACAACAAGGTGAATTTCACACATGTTGACGTTCATCTTCATCACTACCGGACGATGATTGGAGCTCAGATGTCAGAGAACTCTCCATTGAAACATCCTTACTCTTGCTTTCACTGATGGTGTCTGGAACTGGGTTTATATGAGACTGAGAGTCTTGTGTCCGGGGAAATTCTGATGGTTTTGTCTCACTTTGAGATTGCTTCTTGCTCTGAACTGAAAACATAAAATCCAACGTCCTCTGTTTCTTTTGTTTCTAATTTTTTTTTCACTTTCTGCCAAGTCAGCATCAACATGTTTTTTTCTCAGTATCCAAACAAGCAACAAAACGATTTGGTGACCAGTTCTTAGTATTTGTGTTTGTATAATGTGTCCACATGATGCAGACAGGTTCCTCCTCCGCATCATTCAGAGGGTGTATTGTTTGATTAAGTACATGTCTGTTTGTAGCCACATTTTGGATTTTGGGATAGATAAATTGAACTGGTCGTTTCAGAACATTTGGCAAACTAAACATGTGTAAAACTGATGAATATTCTCCATTTCTTGTTGTTTTCATTACTAAATGTCTGTAACGCTGTATGTTGTCACCCTCTGCAGACTGACTTTCGGATGACGTCAAAATATACTGTAATAGTGATCCATTACCTTTGGCTTCAGAAACACTTGATCAGTTTTGATTCATTTAAGTAATGTTCTTCATTGGTGATATGATCAAAAACACCTCTCACTCGAAGTTCAGTATAATAATCTTCAAAACCAAAGCAGAGTTGAGACGCTGACCACCAAAAACAGTTTCCATCTCCATAACATCTGACTTGGGTAAGATGTGTAGGAGCATCATCTGGATATAATATTCTAGCAACGTGATCAATACTGAATTGCATATTGCTATAGTTTGGCAAATGACTTAAATCCAGTTCAAATTTGTTTGTGTTTGACTTTGCAATTTCTCCACAAAGAGTGTCCCAGCCCTTGTCTGCAGCGTTAGAATACTTCACAAGAAGGTCTTCATAGTCTTAAATATCTGAAAAATAAGAAATTGGAGTCACTGTCACTTTTTCTTTATGATAATCATATTTTGGGTGCTGACAGATAGAATAATAGGGTACTGAAAAACAATAGTTTTATACCATAAATATATTATAATTACATTCAATAACAAGGCAGAAGTGAGCGCAGCTCACATACCCCGCTTATAGTCTGATCGCCTTCAATACCATTATTGAATACCAAAATAATATTTTAGGAAAACATTCAATTTTGGCATCATGCAATTGAAAGCCAAAATCCACAATGGCACCATAAGGGTAAGTTCCATGGCAAATTTGAAGTTTGGAAGTTGTATAGTTTTTGAGTTATGCTCTGGAAATAAAACAAAGTCGGAAATTTGGGCCGTTTTTGGTGAAAATTTCAAACATTTTGGGCAGTACAGAATTAAAAACCCCAAGAGGCACAATGCCACCATAAGAGCAAGTTCCATGCCAAATTTGAAGTTTGTAAGTGGTATAGTTTTGAGTTATGCTCAGGGAAACCATTCCGGATGCACGGACACACGGACGGACGGGCGGAGGGCTATATACCCCCGACTACGTCGTAGCGTGGGTATAATAATGCAGCCATTCATACATGAATTCGGCTTTCAAATAAAACCAGCTCTCTCACTGCCAATGTATGAGTTTGAAATCGTGTCTTATTGATATTGTTTAGATTTTCAATAAATAAATCAAACAGTACCTATTATACTTAAAATATGGCTATTACTGTAAACTTATGTTACTGTATAGACTACACTGTAATGTCAATGTATGTTGTCAACTTACCGCTGATTCTAATCCATCGAAGCCATGTTGGCTGTTAATAACAGTGTCAGCCTGACTGCCTCTACTTTCACTTTTGAATGACAAGAATTAATTTTCTTTGATTATATCATTAGCGGAATTTTTTTTTTTATCATGTTATTTTTTCAACGTTACCAGGGGCTTGAATTTGTGTTTTATTCTCTATTTTGGTCCCTAAATTTTTTTCCAGCTTGTAAAAATAGGGTGTGGGTGTGTGTGTGTGTGTGTGTGTGTGGGGGGTGCCCTCCATATGTTTTCGGGGGGCAGCTCCCCTCCCTCCTTCCCCCTGCCCCCCAGTTCTTACGCCTATGGATTTCCATAGTCCATCAGTTGCTAATTATCCTTGACCTACTACCCTCCGAGGTCAATAACTGGCCTTGACGTTTCAGGCGGTAGTCCACCAGTAAGAATCCTTGGGAATACCAGTAAACAGAAGCCGAAAGGACAACTTTTGCCTCCGTCTTCTGAGGAGACGTTGGATATTTCTGTTTTGTCTGTAGAGGCATAGGGACGCTCAGTGGTGAAGGCGTTCACTCATCACTCAGTAAACCCAGGTTCGTGACCTTCTTAGGTTACATCGTGTGATGCCCAAACAATGGACCTTAATCTGCTCACCCCTGCGTTCTTTGATAACAGTTACAACACTGAAGGCTTTAGTGAAGATGAACACTTTTTGATGGTAATATTTCCAAAGTCGGCGCATCACCATCTTTTCCCATCTTTGTTCTGGCGAACCAATGAGTTTCCTTCGCCCGATAGGTGACCTGTGTACACCGGTCAATGTGCCATCCAGGCTGACCACAGCACCTTTTAGACTCTGTTTCACAAGCCCGAGGACCCATTCGCCGGTTGGTAAACCGGTGTAAGACTTAAAGACACCACGTAGGTTTCGTAACTTGTGACTCAGCAGAGCAGGGTCAATACTTTTGAACCCATCAAACTCCACTCCGCCGCCGGCTTGATTTGTCTTCTTTCTTGTACACCTTAAGATGTATGTACTGTGTAATGAGATCGACACAGAAGTTGTATCTCATAAAAATGATAAAAGTAAAAGCAATTCAGACATTATACACATTTATTCACAACTGTCAATGGTGCATCTGCAAAGAAAATAGTTACACCGAATTAGACACTTGAATATACATTCATGAATATTATACTTGCGAAAATCAAAACGATATTGTTCAATATTACTTCCAGTATTCTCACTCAGTACTCAATCACTTGTATGGTCTAATTGGCCTTAATCTAATCAACACGTCCGATCATAAGATTCCACTGTTTTTATTGCTTGTAAAGATGTCCATAGCAATGTGATGTCATTACGTGACGTTTTTCAGCAAAAGTCGAAATAAGCATTCTGTCCCCCCCCCCACCACAAAGCGATCACCACGTTATGATGATGGTAACTGTCATTCTTCATAGTCACAGCGCTCTGATCGTTTTGTGGAACGTAGGTGCAATATTTTCTTAAAATTGGAAAATCAGAATGATGGATTTTCATTATTTAATACAATCACTATGGGTAGGACAGACAGCAACCAACATGCAACTCCGAATCACAGATTACGTCCCTCCCGAGTTACATTTTGAAAAGGCCCCTCACGTACGAAACTTAGGACAGAAAATCTGTAATTACTTACGAGTTGTGTAATTCTAATGTGATATAATTACGACCATACGAGGTATCATACGAACATAATACAGATAAGACATCAGTATAACATATTCCAAGTCAGCCAACGAAATACGTCACTGAGCATGCGATATGTACATGTTATCGACAGTTTGTTTGTTAGTGAGTGCCTGCATGCGTGCATGCGTGCATGCGTGTGTGTGATATTCAAAGAAGCGTTCAAACTTCATTTTCAAATGATCATTTCATAGGCGCATACGACGTTTTCTATAATGTAACGGCGTCCCTAATACTATTGTAACAGGGATAAATCCAGGGATTGTGTATTGTGTACATACATTTATAATTAATCATTTTCATTTTTATTCTTATTTCAGGTGATCCGACAGACGACTTCTCTATACATTATATATATGTTATATGTTGTCAATCCAGTTGCATCTTGTCTTGGCCTTAACTGTTCAGTTCTGTGTTACAGGGCTGGTTCATTGTGTATTTAAGGGTATCTGGGTCGATCTACTTTTATGTCATTGTCTTTAGTTGTTTTAACAATAGCCCAGGCTCAGCTTCTCAGTTGATTGGTGTAAGTTCAAATATACTTCTCACCGCCATGTTACTAATCAGTTTTGCACCACACTGTGTCTACATGAGGACTGTTTTAAAGATTGAGTTTTGATCTAAGGTTAGTAATTATACTGTTTGTAATATATACATAGCTAATTAAACCCTAATATAAATAATTGTATAACATAGGCACAAATATGTTCAAGATAAATCAAATGTAAATATTTACACAGTATGCTATTTTACCTGTATGAATGTGCGTATGGTTGGTTTTTGCTATATGTTTATGTTGGCTTGTAGTTCTTGTTTTACAAATGCTGTATATGATGTAAGATTGATCTGTTTCATCAATTCTGTATCTTGTTTGTAACTCCATAGTGGTAGTTTCAAGTATGTATATATGTTGGTATAATGGTATTATTTTATGTGTTGTCTCATGGACAATACCTCTCATCAGTGTATCCTGTTTTATGTAGGATTATTGCACGTGTTGGCTGCCCGGCTGCTGGGTGCTTGAGCACACTCCCGTGTCACCCACAGGGTAGGTTTCATTGTCTGTTTTTATAGTCTGTTTCATGATATGCCACATGAAATGTCACTTGTAATAGTAACAATAGTATATGCCATTTTTCCTAACCTGCGTGAGATTATGTAAGACAGGTACATTCTTTACTTAAGTCTTTGTTATTCCGATGTGTATATTTGAAGACATGCATTTATGAGATGTTTATACCTACATATATATGAAGGCATATGTTCATCGGATGTGGTTTCAGCATATACATATACATTGTATAATTATGATTGTTACAGAGTGTCTACTCCTACTACTTCTTCCACTACGGAATAAAAGATATTGACCTCACAACCCGTAGCCTGTGGTTATTACAGAGCACCACTATTTCATGGCTGCAACACTATTCCCATAAGAAAACTGGTGATCTGTACCTGTTACAGTCTGGTTCACCCCATGACTGTGCTGACAACTACTGGAGCAGCTGTGCTGACAACGACTGGAGGAGATGTGACAACGATGGTGCCGACGCTAGTTTTCGTCATCTTAGCCTCCATTTCCAGATGCTGGAATACGGCAAAGATTAACCGAAAATGGATGCAAACTTTAGAAAATAGACAGTCCCATCAAATCCAATTCTTTCTCTCTTCTAAATCATGTTTCCTGTTCTTCCAGAGATTTGGGAGTATTTAGTGTCTTGTGAAACACCCTAATTGAAGACTACGCGATCGTACATCACGGGTTTCGCCTGTGTAGTTCATCTAGGGTTACTTTACGCTATTTTCGAGAGTACTCTCAGATTGGCATGAAATGAATGAATTTTTTGTTCCAATCTGAGGAAACGATAATCTGTCTGACTGAAGTGTTGATAGAAGGAAGGGCCTATAATAATGTACCAATTAATGTAGGAATATTAGAATGCTCTGTGGTATGTTTGCTAGTTTGGATAACCTTACCCTAATGATCATATTATCCATGCCGTGAGCTTGATCCTTATCAATTTCTGCAACAGAGAAATACGCAAATATAATCATCACCAGTTCCCAGTTCACAATCCCAGGCGGGAAGCAGGTTCCAGACTGACCTGTAGTGAAAGGGAACAGGGGTATGTGCTAGGCAGCGGTATCCTGAAGAGTACCAGAAGGAGGTTCTGGACAGCGCAGTACTGAAGTGAGTTGGTTGGAGGTTTCATAGAGAGCTATAGTAAAGAACTGCGGATAAAGGTTTCAGACAGTGGTATTGAGCTATGCAAGTGGTGGAGGTTCAAGACAGCCAATGCTGAAGGCCAGTTGGTGGAGGTCACGGGTAGCAGTATACAAGACAGCCAATACTGAAGGCCAGTTGGTGGAGGTCACGGGTAGCAATATACCGAAGAGAAAAGGTAGAGTTTTCAGATAACGCTATACAGAAGAGCACCCGGAGGAGTTTCTTGACATCGCCCTTGTGTCAGTGATGGTGGGAGATTCCAGCGAGGGCAATACTGAAGACAAACTGGGGGTGTTTCCGGATAGTGCTGTAGTGAAGAGGTGACAACACTCTCATTAAAATCCTTTCTGAACTAACGACTTTCCATAGTCATTTGAAATCACATCTCAAAGCAGAGTCGAATGTACGATTCTAACTTCATCAAGGGCGTGTGTTTATAGATCATATCACTCAATGATGCATCAAATCATGAAATGTTTTCTACATGTCAAGTCTTGAATGTTGTTATTCCGATGAATTCTCCGTAGAAATGTACACAAGACTGGGGCTGCTGTAATATTACTGGACATGAAGGGGAGACTGACAATTGGAAAGTTGAATCTGCAGTCGTGTGGATAATGTTTTGTCACTCAAAGTCTTTTAAGCATGGATCTATATAGGAAACAGACACGGCTGTCTCACTGGTCGTAGATCGTAGATCGTAAACGAACGTTCAGCAACTTTCCTAACATTTCACCTGTATGAATATGTGTTTGTACAGGAATATATAATTTTGGTGTTTCCTGATTCTCACAAGTTGCGGGAAACACTGGAAACTGATTATTCAGAGCATGTGATTGATTTAAATAGAAGGCATAAACTCCTTGTTTGATAATTTCAAACAAGAATTATATGCAGGAGACACAGGATATTCCTGCCCATAGTATATACATACGTGACATAAGGTCCAGGACGGCTGCGTAGCCCTTCTGGTCAATGTACTGGGTGAGGGTATTGTGTTCGGCAGCGTACAAGATCTCCAAGAAAACTCGCAGGTCGGCGTGAGAGAGATCGTCCTCAATCTTGTGTGCAAGGTGCAGTTCTCTCATGAAGTTAAACAGGTCGCTGCCACTCTGCCGTTTCTGATCAAAGAAAGCACGCATCTGTACGTTTAACAAGTTTTTAAACCTAAACAAAACAATATAGAACAATAGTTAGGGTCAGCTCCAGACCGGGTTCCAGATCAATAAATGTGCCACGAAAAATAGAACCGCTTTATCTTTGACCAGTATTTCCTTTGTATTAAAACGTGTCCTCTCACCCCCAGGCCCCTCGTGTGTACTTATAACAGTAGTTTTTGGTAAGAACATAAATGATTATTGTGTAGGTACAATCCAGTTTCGGGGTTTAGCCCCAGATCTCTAAATGGGCCAAGAACAGTGGAGACACTTTATCTATGATCAGTATTTCCGGTATAGTAAAGCGTGTCCTAAATGTTTGGTTGGTAAGAACATCAATGCCAATTGTGTTAGTACAATCCAAAAATAAGACACTTTACTAAACGCAACTAAGCCCTTTACATAATCATAAGAAATCTCTGCTAAAGTAGAGTCCACTTTAGTATAATACGTGAATCAACATAAACGAGTTATAATTGTTCGATATTCTTCTTTCTTTTAAATTACTGTTATATAATATGTATCTATCAAGCAGGAGTAGCTGTTAGATATACATTTTCAGAGAGGGAGATATTTTTTGCCAAGAGCATGAACCGCCAAACCTGTGTCTCAGAGATGAGCCATGGTCCTTTATTCAGTCAAGGAATGATTGTCTGTGTATTCACAGAAAGTACTTTAGCAAAATAAAAGAATGTTATATGGGTTTTTGAAAAACTCATTGTTTCATTAACGTTTTGCAATTTAAGAAAACAGCTATCTGTCACATTTTTCTTTTTCACTTTGTATTCCACTTGACGAACGTTAGAGAATACTTAAGACCTTGACCAAATGGGCCTTTGACTCTTAACGTTGTGGTTATAGATGTACCGACCTGTCTATCGTTAGAGTTCAGGAAGAGTTGTCAAATATGATAGCATGGCACCACTGTGCTCCCTTTCAGGTCGATCCGTTTCTCTATACATATAAATCGGAAATTCTGCTTGGGTTGGATAAGTCAAAAGTGTTGAAGGTTAACACACGCAGATGGTTCTTATACCGTGGTCAAGCAAGAGTAAACCTATACCGACACGTCGCGTCATACTATAATAAAGGTGTTGTCGCCCATAAAGTATAGTACCTTTCTTACCTATCATCTCCACTCTTTGATAGTGATTCATTAACAGATGCTCATGAGATCGTACAATCGGGATTTCTCACGAATTTGTTAAGGAATGTGTTGCTTTTTGTAACATATGGTAATATAATTAATATAACACATGATACCGAAATAATAACTGTTTTGTTTGATGTTTTGTGATGTTATACATTCTTTACTGACTGATTACAACTAAGTTGCTTTAAGAACGGGTAGATATACTTTGTTATCGTAACCCTGTCTACCATATGTAACCTTTACTGACCGATTTAACATTTGAAATAGACTACTTTGTCATAACTTACTGTGTACATTTTTCCTTCTGTAAAATCGTTAAAACTGAGGTGTACACAAATCTACTCACGCCTAAAATGCTTGAGCCTTTCAGGTGCTGAAACAAAAACCAAAACAGAAGCAGAAGTAGTAGTGAGGTGAGGTGAGGTGAGGTGAAATTGGGTTTAACGTCGTGCTTGAGAATATGACGACGTGTGTATATGTATGTGCGGCTGCTTGTACTAACCCAGACTGAAGCTGGTTTTATAGTGCATTATACTGACTCCGAGCCGACCAGTCCTTGTTGTACCCATTAATGCCGAGCGCCAGACAGGGACCAACAAGTACCATATTTTAACGGCTTTTGGTATGACGCGGTCGGGATCGAACCCGCGACCTTCCGCTTTCCGGGCGGACGCTCTAACCACTACACCACGGAGGTAGCACTAGTAGTAGTATTAGTGGTGGTAGTCGTAGTTGTAGTAGTAGTGGTCGTAGAAGTAGTAGTACTACTGGTAGTTGTAGTAGTAGTACTAGTAGAAGAAGAAAAGACCCATTATGCTACTTACAGCGGCAAGATAACTTTCAAAGTGGGGAATGTCGTCCTCGTCCAAATCTGAAGATGTATGAATCATATGCGCCACATTTCAATATCATGTGGATGTTGGATAAGTGTATAAAGACAAAGGATTGTTCTACGTGCAAGGGGTCAGATTCTATAATCTTTGTGAAAACTATATCAGTGCATATTGGTTTATATAAGAATTTTCATTAATAATATTTATACCAAAATGGGTATATACAGGGTCAAATACCTTGTTTAATAACGTGTTTATCACAGTTGTAGACAGACTTTCTTTCTGTTTTTCTACAGACGTTTTTCGAGATAAACTTAAGGTAATTGACTTGGCAAATGCTTGTTGTTTGTTCTTGGGTAATTATATCGTATATTTCAGTGTGCTTATGAAACATATAAATAGAAAACGCCATAAATTGAAATTCAATTATACAAAATCTTCCAGATTATCATTTTAGTATTACCAATGCTTTTGTGTTTTCGAGAACTCTACTTAACCACCCTGCACCAATGATCGCTCTTAGTCTTGGCTTTGCAATTAGTGACACTGTTTGTGGAGAAATGGAAACACTGTGTGTGGTTAGACTCTGTCTCTGTGTAGTTAGTGTATAATTCCGATATTCACCAACTGAAGGATTGGTGTTTTTCATAAAATCTATCAGGAAGGACCGAAATAATTGGGTTGGGATGCCGGCTGACCAAGCCTTTATGGGAATATGCAAGAATACAAACATAAACATACGATCAATGAGGCGAATAATACTGTCGAAGGTCTTGGCTTTGATAAAGGCTGTAAGAGCATCACTGCCCTGCTCGGCAGCAATGATGAGTTCGCTGTAGAGAAGTTTTTCAGTTGGGGCCATATTGAAGAACTCATGAGTCGTCTCTATATCCTTCAGCCAGTCAGCGAATTTAGAAGGGTCGGTGTAGACGTGATGGTGATGGTCGGCCACGACAGCCGTCACTGCTACCAGAGCAACAAGTAGAAGCTGCATCGTCCTGAGGGAGAAAATGAGTTTCCTATATCGCAAGTGAAGTGAAGTGGCATTACAAAAGGAGGTGACCGCGTTCGAATACCAGTTTTGAGAAAAACTCCATTATTGGTGTCCCTTGCTTCGATGTCAGAGGCTGGAACATTACATTACGTCACGCTAGGAAGGTGCAGGCGGACGTTGTCATAAATTACGAGTCTGATCTTGGCAACGGTTGCCCAGACTATCAATGGTGGACACAAAGTCTGAGAGTGTTTCTCACACTAGAAACATGAAAAAAGAAAACATGAACACAATCAAACAAAAACACACGTCACAGCTTGATAGATTACTGTCTGACACCAAATCAAAGATTAGAATTGGTTAACACTTCTTCACATGATGTCTAATAAACTTCCGAAGGATTACGTAATGTCAGTTAATCTTTATTCAGTAGGTAGACAGAACTGAGTTAATATCTCATTTAGTTCAGGTCAAGGTTATGCTTGGGTCTACCTAGACGTTGGATGTATAGCTAGTTTTCTGAAAACTTTCAAACCAGACTGAAATATATATACACCCAAGGACAGATATTAGAATATAGGACTAGATATGAATGCTGTATAGGTTTTAAGATTGGCCTTAGAGCAGAGAAATATGTAAACGATTCGACCTTTTGTACATTTGCAACCGACTTTGCTTGTGCTCGACTTGGATGTACAAGGCTAAATATATTGTTAGACTGCAAGAGTATGTACGTATTGTAACCTAAACAATATCGAAGATCTGTGCCATTTTCACTCTTATATGTCCATCCTTAAAGAACATTCGATAGAAATACATACCAAATACATGCTTACTTCGACCTTTAATACAATATTTTCTCCTCATTGCTATAAAAAACTATCAAGATTAAAAATCTGTTATGTTACAAATGTACTTCAAATGTGCCTTCAAGAGCAGAAAAGGCCTGAAATGAAATGTGAATAATTCGCTAAAATGATCCAAAACTGATTTATACAGTTGATGTATATGGGCTATGGCCTTTCATACAATAAACATTTGAATTTGAATAATCCATTTGATAAGAACGAAGTTCATCAGGTACCGGAATAGGTTTCCCTGCTTCAAACATCGTCTGAACTGTCACTGTGGATTGCAAGAATCCAACTCGAAATCACAATCCAGGGATTGTTAGTTTTTGTCAAGCAAGAGGAATATACTTTTACACCTAGTGACAGGCCAAGTCACAGTTTCGCAGTTTTCACTATAAGGTGAAAGAATTCAGTACACTTCTACCTGAAAGGTATCCGCAAATCCTCAACATATATTACTATTTACTATTACTATTTACTATTACTATTTACTATTACTATTTACTATTACTATTTGCATAAAAATATAAAGAATAATTTACCTTTACAGGGCAGTTGGATATACTTCGATTCGGTTCAATATTAAATACGTTTAAAAAGATAAAAAAGGCTATGCGTTTTATATAGTACGAGAGTAAGAATACCAATACCTGGCGTGTTTCACTGCTGGGAAGTCCACTCTGCCCTCAGTGACTCGCTACCCTATTTATACTGTGATAAAAAAACGGGATAGGTTTCTATACTCTCACCTGGTCATCTGACGCTGCTTCAGATTTTGGACACACGGCACATTTGTCTTTTTGATTTTACGTTTTAGCCTCTGTTAAGCATAAGGAAGAATGTGACTGCCATAAGTTGTGTTATTATTTACAGCATAAAACCTCACTCACTCACTAAAACAAGTAGGAGAAGTAGGCGATATTCTGCTTATACTACTACGCTCGTAATATTCTAATCTAATATTCGAACCTTTATTACAAATTTTTGTAACTTTTGATAGTCACCACACTGTTGACAGGCTGAGAGAACTTGTTGATTATATCGGAGCTAATCCGACTTCTTATCTAGACAAACACGTGTCACATATGTTAGTAAAGTCTCACCCAATGTACAACAATTCATACGCCTTAAACACTGATAAGAGTACACAAACCGGTGAATCATAACATAAAATAACCTATATACATGTATTGTCGTTTAGAAAAACAGAACTCGGGCTTACATATCATGGAGTGTTTAGGCTGTGTTTAGAAATACTTACTTGTTAGACATATATTTTTCATTACAATGTGTTACTAAATCTTCTGTGTTAAAAGGTGTGTCTGAATACACAGAAAAATGAAGTAAAATGTGAAGTTCTTCAACTGACAATAGGAGCAACACTCTTTCATAATGCTTTGGAATATTCTTCACACATTGTGGGCATATTCTGGTGAGGAACTGTAGGTTATTACAAACAAGATCTTGTGTCCACGAACCAGTATATCATATTACCTGACGTACGTCGTATTGAGCATTTCGACTAAATTATACATACTATTAACCAGTTCGTTATAGGTTACTGTATACATATACACCAGTTATATGATTAAGACATAAAACCGTTTGCATCACAGTGAACTGTCATGTTTACTCTAACAAAATCGGCGTCGTTCAAATATACACTGCTCTTGTATTATATTACCTTTGACTTCGTACTGCCACTCTGTTTTGTACTGCCATTGTAATACCCTGGTACTGATTTGTAGATACAATTGTTGTTTCTAACACGTCTTCAAGTAAATAAATAAAAAATAATAAAAATAAAAAATAAATAATAATAATAAATAAATAAACCAAAAAAATAAATAAATAAATAAATAAATAAATAAATAAATAAATAAATAAATAAATGTGTCTTTGTCTGATTGTGTAATCATTAATTTCAGCACAGATTAAGCAATTAAAATAGAATTCCTACCACTCTATTCACGAAAATCCATCAAATTTGGACTGGTTTCTTCATACAAATTAGATTAACATGCTTCTCTATTGTCAAATGCTGTTTTCATACAAGCCTGATAGGTAATGTATAATTTGATATTATCTTTTGTTAGCTGTGACTGAATTGTCCATTCTAAAGCCTGTAAAGGGTGTAGTTTTGTACAGTCGATAGAATAAATGTTGCATCCTGGATGTGAAACTAGTCTCTATGAAATAAACATAATTTCATTTGCATGAAATGTTAGTCTTGTTACTGAAAGTAAGATTTACTGATCCACGTCTCAATAGATTAAAGCGTTACCTGATATGACAAGACTGATCCCAGCTGGACGTCTCCGGGTGGAGTGTTTACAGTGGGTGCGTCTGTGTGTAACATGTACTGCAGTGGGGTACCCTCAAGCTCCTGTAGCACTCGAATGTCAGCGTCGCTGATATGTGGAAGTCTATATCAAGGTATATATACTCTTTATATACCACTAAGACTGCACCTGTTTTAGTGAGTATGTGCAAAACAGTTTTCAAAAGTGACAATTTTGAAAAATATATAAATATTTTCAAAACATTCATACCTTCTGTCACATCAACTTGACAAATGATTGGCTTCCTTTTCCTAGACTGGGCAAGTGCTCGAGCCACAATCACTTGCTTGATAGGCACAGGGCTGATCCTGTTGCCGATGGGAATCTGCCACTGTTGTGGGAGGCTGGTGCAACTCTCTTGTTCAGGAATGTGCGTGAAATTGTGAAGCTTCAATCCATGAAGCCAATGATGTGGGAACATCTCCCACTAAGTCTAAACAAAAATGAAGTCACGTGGAGGAAATCTAAGATTTTCTTTATCAAAATGAAATATCATTGCATCAAGAATAACATCTAATCCAGTATCATGTTACCTATTTTTAAAATATATGAAAATGAACATATAATTATATAGGCCTAATCACAGTTAATCGTATGTTACTAGGCCTATGTGCAACATTTGGAGGCTGATCGAAAACAGAACAATTGAATTTTATGGTTCTTTTTGGTAAATTACTGAATGAAAAAACCCCAATCTGTTTCATTTTTGCCGATAGTATATGTAAACCTGATGTAACATAAATACAAAAGTGTAAACACTCGTCATATTTCTGCTGCCTAACTTCGACAGGACTAGAAAAATTCAAGACCACAGTCATAACAAGACTGAAAGGTCCCTGCACCATTGAAAT